CTGAAACTGTAAGAAACAACATCTGCACAGTACATTAAAGGACTGAAGTCTTATATAATTACAGTGCTTTAAAGATGTCAGTAACAGTTAAAGTTTGAACAGAAAATTTTTTAAAAAAACCCTGATAAATAGCAGACAAAGTGAAAGTACTAAAATAAAATTGAAATAGAGGAAGCTTCAATAATTGAAATGGAAAGAACAGCCAGAACAGCTATCTGACACATCCATTGCCAGCTGTGGAAAATTATAAATTGGATCACTTCTGGAAAAACTGTGGACCCCTTTTAACTCATCACACCACTATGGGAAAAAACAGCAAATATTTGACTACCATAACAAATTCCCAGAGCAAAAATATACAATCACTGTAAACCCTAGCATAGCAATGAGGATAAATATACCTCTGGAAAGACATATTTAAAAAAATATTCCAGAGACATCTTTGTTACAAAAAGGTAACAACATGTGAGAAAAGTGAAAATCAAAATATTATAAATGGTAAGACTGGCAAAATAATACAGTAAAAGTAATAATTCAGAGCCTGGGTTACAAAACATTCCAGGATGTTTCATAGACAAATCCTTTGCCTGGCCATGCTGATTGCAGTTGCACAAGCAGTAGGAAAAAAAAAAATTTTTAAAAAAGGAGTGCTACTCCACTTGAGGGTTTGGCTTGGCTGCTGACACAGCACAGGAGAGTTCCTGCAATCCTGGAATCACTGTCTTCAATGCATCACTAGTTTTAACACTTGTTTTTGTTTCTCACCACTTCAAAATATTGGATTCTGAACTGCTCCATGCATCTTTGCAAGACTCCAGGATGAAGAGGGCCATGCATGTGTGAAAGGGATGTTTTTAGGTCCTTTCTCGTTTTCACTAAGCAGGACAATGACAACACCACAGGTAAAATGATTGGCAACTGTACTGCATTTAACCTCTTTTAAATAAGCCAACAATAGTGTTATGAACATCTCTACAATCTGCTATTGCAGACAAAGTGCTGCCCCACATCTAAAACATATTTATCTTTGGTCCTTTGGATATGACCTTTCATTAAGCCCTTCCAGAATGCTAAACTTGGTGCCTGTGTACATACACTTAAAAGTGATTCAATATTTCAGCTAGTTGTCTAAAATATGAGGAATGTAACTCTCCTAAAGTTGGGATCCACCACGTGATAGAAAAGATTTTAGTTTGAAAAATGCACACTTATTTAGTTGGGTAGTACATTCACACAAATTAGCTCAGCATAATAAAATTCAAATGTAGCAAGGCTTAATCCACACCACTCTGTTATTAAACTTTTGTAGGGAGTTACCAAGTGTCCACAGAACTTAATTAAAGAACAATCATATAAATAACTGTTCACACTACCTGTTCTCCAGCCTTGAAATCTTGAAGTGCTACACATTCACAACGATCATCTTCTAAATTGTAGCCAGTAGTGATCTATACAAGGAAAAGAGTTACAAAAACACCTTTGGCATTTTCTCTCTCCCACCATTGCCAAAACTTCTTATTGAAAAAGGATATTACCAATAGGACTGGCATACATTTCTTTCTCTGCACAATATAATATAGCTGGTAGGGATTGTTTTATGGTTCCTGAGCAATTACTTTTACAAAAAAAATCTCTGCGTTAAAGACATCTAATGGAGGAAATAACCTACCTGAAGTGAACAGAAAGTTCTGTACCTTCCACAGACAGCCCCATGCTAAAGTCAGCAGCTTGTTATAAAGTTCTGGAGCTTTCAGTCACTCCCATAAGGCCCAAGGGAGCAAGGCACTAAATAGCTAAAGCTCTATATGCAATGCTTTATCCTTCAACTGCCAACACGCATCATATAAATAACTGTTCACACTACCTGTTCTCCAGCCTTGAAATCTTGAAGTGCTACACATTCACAACGATCATCTTCTAAATTGTAGCCAGTAGTGATCTATACAAGGAAAAGAGTTACAAAAACACCTTTGGCATTTTCTCTCTCCCACCATTGCCAAAACTTCTTATTGAAAAAGGATATTACCAATAGGACTGGCATACATTTCTTTCTCTGCACAATATAATATAGCTGGTAGGGATTGTTTTATGGTTCCTGAGCAATTACTTTTACAAAAAAAATCTCTGCGTTAAAGACATCTAATGGAGGAAATAACCTACCTGAAGTGAACAGAAAGTTCTGTACCTTCCACAGACAGCCCCATGCTAAAGTCAGCAGCTTGTTATAAAGTTCTGGAGCTTTCAGTCACTCCCATAAGGCCCAAGGGAGCAAGGCACTAAATAGCTAAAGCTCTACATGCAATGCTTTATCCTTCAACTGCCATCACGTTTCTGATCTCTCAATGAAAAAGGATTAGATAACTGTGGATCTTTAGGGGATACAATCTTCAGGGAATTATAATTTACTTGAAAATAATCCCTTTATCTAAAAGTTAAGTAATACTCTTAAAATGCTAACAGGATTTTTGTGATGATAGCAGGCAATGGGAGAGGATAAACTCCCTCAACAAACCTGTACTTCTCTAAAAACAATGTCTAAACCATAAAGGAGACACACAAACAAGTAAAGCTATCCTAAAAATGTAACATTTTATCAAGTAACAAACAACACGTTCAAAGAATCACAGAATAATCAGAGTTGGAAGGGAACCTTGAGGATCACCAAGTCCAACTCCTGGCCCTGCACAGGACATCCCCAAGAATCACACCCTGTGCCTGAGAGCATTGGCCAAACACCTCTTGAACTCTAGAACCCTGTCATGTTCTTGAATAGTATCACCAAAGATGCAGCCACAGGATGGAACATAAGCTGCTGAAAAATCACAAAGCAACTTCTAGGGTAGGTAGTCTGAATTCAGTACTGACAGAGCTAACTTATGGAAAAATATGCTCTGGGCCTGGGGAAAAAACCTAGAAGAAGCCAAAGATTCTCTCTTAGCTTTTGAAAACGAAAATGTACTTTTTTTGTAACCTAATGTGAGTTGCAGCATTCTTTGATTCCCATCTTGGATGCAGTTTGTCCAAAGACTGAACTTCACTGATTATTTTGAAAGCTTGGCTGATGGTTTACACATTAATGGTTTTGCACTGCTTGCATCATCAAACGTGCATTTGTCAGCCAAAATAGTGCTCTCAACGTGGGGAACTTGTCTCTGATGGAGCAAACCCAAAACAGCAGCCTGGCCCTGTGGATGTCTGCAGAACCCTCCAGAACTCTTGCAAATCTCCAGTTTAGAAAGTTATCTAACCCTGAATTGCAGGTTACAAGTGCTAGAGGATTTGCCTGTGCTATCACAAATGTTCCTTCCAAGTTCAAATACAGGCACCTTTGGAAAAATTGTACCTTTCATTGAAAAAAGGGAACTCTGACAGCACTTAGAATCATAGTCTCACCAAGGTTGGAGGAGCCCTCTAAAATCATCGAGTCCAACCATTAACCTGTCACTACTAAAACTCCTAAACCCTAAACTATATCCTCCAGTGCCAGATCCAGATGCCTCTTCAACACTTCCAGGGATGGTGACTGCACCACCTCCCTGGGCAACCTGTTCCAGTGCCCGAACACCTAACAGAGAAACATTTTTCATGACATCTAACCTGAATCTCTTGGCCTGTCCTGAAATTTTCTTAGTGTGTAAACTCAATGAAACAGTTCTGAATGTGAAAAGTCCATTCAAATCCCTTGAAATGCTGCTGGAACAGGAAGCTTTCATGGACTGGGGAAATTCCAGTCTGTTAAGAGGAGGATTCTGTCAGTTTAAGCATGCTTCACTAGAAGTACTGCTCATTTTTTTGTTATTTTTATTTTTGCCTTTTTTTAAAAACAAAAATACCCACAAAACCCAGCAACACTTCTGAAAGGCTTTTCTATAAAGCATAATGGAGTGCTAGACTCTTATTTCCTCTTTCTTTTAATAGCAGTCACGTAAGAGAATTAACAGGGTGTTTACTTCTCTTCCCACATGATAGCTGACAAATTGCATCCCTTCAGTTTTATTTCTGAAGCAGACTGATACATGAATTTCAAGTTGTGTATAAAGCATGCAATAGTCTGCTTGGTCAGTGATTAAGGATGGACCCAGCCCAACAGGCAGAATGTAGCTTATTCAAAGCTCTGTCAGAACTGGTAATCAACCTCTGACTGTCAAAATACAATCCCACTAAAGAATAACAATGAGAAATGCATGAAGACAACCATTTTGAAATAGTTCTTAAGAGGCAGGTTGATCTAATTAATAGTGTCAGAAGCAAGAAAAAGCTGGATGGACCTAGCTCCAGTTAAAATGCTCTTTGGATTTTATTATCTAGTTCATGGAAAAGGGCCCTGTGGAATAAAGCAAGAACAGGGATATATAGCAGCTGATTGACTCAAAAAGTATTTCAGCACTACATTTGGAAGAAACTAGATAGGGGTGCATTCAATGCCATCTTTTGTGTCTTACTTTCCTCCAACGAAGAATGATTCCCTTCATGTATTTTACAGGGATGTGCTATGATTAGAGCAGAACCCACACTCATCTCACTCTACAATAACAAACTACAATACAGCTTACAGTTATCTTAGCAGCTTACAGTTGTCTTAGCAGTTTCCCCCCTATATCTAATAGCACAAGGCAACTACCACCCAGCAAAAATAGGTTTAGTAGCTTTTCTTAGCCTCTTATCAATATTACAGTTGTCTATCCTTCCTACATCTATAGCCATTTAAACTATTTTCTGTAGACATATGAAATAAATGACTGAAATCTGTATATACATAAACCTCCAAAATCTTTAAGTTCAGCACCCCCCCCTATCCTTTAGGATATGTTTCAGCATAAAAGAAATGCTTCCAACCCTGATATACTACTGCATTAGCAGGTTTGGCTCCAGAGGTTGGCTCCATATCAAACCCATTGTTCAAGAGCATAATAAAAATAAAAAAATACTTTATCAATTTAAATGGAAGTTTGAATGAGTAAAACAACATAAGTAGCTGTTCTTTTAATATATGCTACTTAATTTTTTCCCTCCCAGAACCTTATTCTCTTCCTCTTTCCTCTAATCCCAACTTTGAAGGCATTCATTAAGAGTTGTCTAATGAATACAGACAAGTCTCTGCAAAAGCTTCTGAAAGAGATGCCCAGCAGGAAAAGGGTACAGGAAGTACTGATGCTTGCAGCTAAGACTTATACTACAAAAAAAATACACATTTCTGAATTTGAAGCTATTTTCTTTATACTGGAGACTCTCATATAAACTTTATTGCTAAATCAAAGCTGTGAGATTGCCTAACAAATAGGCAAAGGCAAGAATCACTGTTAAAGAACAACATGTAATCACCTTGTAATAAGGAAAGATAGATAAATAAAACCACCAAACACTTGCAAGTTTGTGGCCTTTGTACTGTGCTGCACTTGGTACAGTCACAGGAACACTAAATTAGCTAAATGTCAAGTGAAAAACAACTTGCTTTACAATTTGTTCATTTAAAACAGGCTTTTTTTTCACACCAACAATACCAAGACATGCTGCTGTCCTAACACTTGGCTCAACTCTCCCACAGAAGAACCAGATTATTTGCATAGTATGGTCCTGTCCAGTGCTTACAATAGATAATACTACCTACTGGAAACACAATTAGAGGGAATAAATTTTGAAGCATAACCTGAGCATGACTAAATAATATTGATAAACTTCTGGGTTCCCATTTCCTCACTTCAGCATTAACTATCCTGTTAATGAAATCAAAACTCATCCCCTGATCTAGTGCACGTAAGCCAAAATGTCAGCAGGTCTGACTTTCTATATACATATGTCACCTTTTAAATGTTTAATATGCCCTAAAGTAGTATTTTTGCATTTTGTTTCTTTGATGCAGTAACAGATGTACTGTTTTTGTTGAACTAGGCTTTGTTCTTGTTGTTGCTGTCTCCATAACAAGGCTCTCTGGGCATGGTTAGGAGAGCAGGCTCTATTTCTTAGCTGCAAATCCCTAACCACCTTCCCTAGTGGTAGCCACAAGAGGCAACCTCCATCAATGTCTGCTTTCTCTTCTCAGAACAAATCTTCAGCCCATCATAAACAAAGCTCCATGTCAAGAGAATACTCAGACTTGGCTGGGAAACAAGGTATCATGTAAATGAAAACTATTAAATTACATGATAAGTATATAAGACATAACTTTACACAAGTATCAACTCACTTGTAAAGTTTTCTCTAGATGAAGAAAACTCTCCCTGAAAAGCTATGGTAAGACATTGGAGAAACGGACAAACCTTTCAGGTATTAGTTTTTCAGGCCACTTGGGAAGACCTAATTAATGTATTCAAGTACATCAATGGGAAATGCCAAGAGGATGATCAGACTCTGCTCAGTTGGGGAAACCAATAAAACAAGAGGGAACAGCAAAACCAATGCCCAGGAAGTTCCACATGGATACAAAGAAGAACTTCTTTGCTGTGCAGTCACTGTGAACAGATTAGATTGCCCAGAGAAGTTGTGGATTCTCCCTCACTGGAGGCATTCAGGAACTGTCTGGACACAATCCTGAGCCATGTGCTCTGGGATGGCTCTGCTTGAGCAGGGAGGTTGGACCAGATGACCCACTGTGGTCCCTTCCAACCTAACTGATTCTGTGGTAACATACCTGCATTTAGAAGCATCACAAAGTTACTGAACTGTTCTACAGCAGTTGATAAGCTTAATATTTAAGCCCTAAAGTCTTCCATCAACACTGAAGAAATCCTTACCAGTCCATTAGTATGATTACACATGTCCCATAAAGGTATTAGAGCCAGTGTAACTCTGGAACCATCTTCTGTTGGAATCTGGTTCTGCCGAGTCATAACAGAGGAAACTGCCCATCTGCAAAAGTTAACAACAGTAGATGTGAACGTTCGAAACATGAAAATATGATTAGCTGCAGTCCCACCTGAAGCAATCATTTAGGCGGGGAGTTTCTAAACTCAGTTTTCTTAAACATCACACTGGAATGTGAGCAGTGCTATGAGTTGCTGTCACATAGACCAATTCCCAAATGGGAACTGCAATCCCACCCCTCTTCTGTGCTCTTTGCAAGAGAACCTTCATGCCTTTCATTGGGTCTGTTCCTCAACCAGGACCTACTCCTATGTCACCTTCAGCTTCCCCAACTCTTCAGTGCACACATCCCAAACCTGGGGTCAGCTACTCCTGCAGGTTTCAGAGCAGGAGCTCTCATCTATGTGCAGACTCTTGTAAGAGCCACATGTATTCTCCCCTTACTCTCTAAAAAGCTTACGTAGTGCATGAACTGGAAACCAGTGTCACCACCTGACAACATGCATGATATGCTGGTTAAGTGCTGCTCTTCAGTTTGAAGTTTTGGCCTCGATCAGTATTGCCAAATTTTCTCCTTAACAGAACTAATAGGAAACAAAGCCACAATATTCCAAACAGATATCCAGGTAAAAAGCATGAAGAGAGTATAACATAGTTTAGCACACAGACATTATTCAAAACCCTTCTAAGCCAGGTCAAGCAAATGAAATGCCAGTTACCTACTCAAACAAAAATCTTCACTAAGAATGTAACATCACAGTATTTTCTAAAATTCCCTTTTTATTTTATACATGACAAAAGTGAATATTAAATACCAGAGGAAAAAAGAATCTTGGCTTCACTATGTTCTGGCCTTAATACATATATGTGATGTGGGTTTTTTGAAGGGGAAGGGGAAGGAAAAGGAATTCCACCAGCAGAAATAATTTTAATTCCCACAAACTCCACTACTAACAAGTATTTATTTTACAGAATTAGACTTTCAGAAGGATTTCTTCATGAGGACTACAGACTGCTTAGAAAGATAGCACCAAATTGAAATCTACCAGATTTCTAGAAAGTAAGTTGAAATCGTGGATAATTTTGATCTATAAACACTGTTTGAAGCATAATGCAATATGTTCCTTGTTAATTGCTATAATTTGTCTGCAGAATTTTAGAGCACTTCACATATAAGTTGGCATGTTCCTCGGTGACCCTGTAAGTGAAGGAGGCATTCTTGGGAAATCCCATTTTCATAGATTTACCCAGAAGTATAACTAGGCTAAAAAAATCCCTCATGAACGCCTTTTATTCATTTAACATAATTAAAGCTCTCATTATCTTAATTATTCTTATTTTTATCTTAATTTTGTCACCCCTTATAGCACCTCCAAGTGATACTCAGGCTTCATGTGTACAACTTCAGTTCTCCAGCTCTTCTGTTCAACAGCAGCTCTAAATATTAGCTCTTATTGCTACATGCTGGTAGAGCCTTTCATAAAAATAAAAGAAATTAAAAAGAAAATAAAAGAAATTAAAAAAAATCCCAGTCCTGCAACGTCAACTGAATTATTTTCTTAAGAAACAAGGAATTACCTTACTAATCTCAGCCTATGAGTATGAGTTGGTTAAATTAACTGCTCAAAATGACTATTCCTTTGTTACAATTAGAATCCGCATATTTATTTTACTTTCTTCCTCATTAAGAAAGTGTATTAGTAGCAAATCCTACAATTAACATTTCAGTAACAATAGGGATTTCCCACCAATGAAGAATTTCCAGGGCCCCACAGTTCACCATATTAAAAGAAAAAAAAAAAAAGAGAAATCTGAGAGAAAAAAAAAAAAAGAATTAAAAGACAGACCAACCTGTAGTCGTCATAAGTGAAAGAATCCTTTAAGGGCAGTTTGCTGGCATTAGGATGGGTCTGTGAAATGGAAGTAGCATAAAAAGGTGAAAAGAGGAAGAAGAAAAGAGAAATCAGAAATCAGTCAGCAGAATTTCATTATTTAGCTGCCTAACAGATCCTAACAAGAGCCAAATGAAGCAGGAGGCGTCCAGCCGCGCTACAGAGGGATCATCATGCTATTATGCTCTCATACATCACTGTCAACTTAATTTGTTGTGCCCAGCAGCCGCCATAAATCTGTTTCTTCATATTTCAAGACTGGAACCCACAGACATTGTATAAAAATTTTTAAAAAAAATTTAAGGTGGACTGGGTATGTGAAGGTAAAACAAAAATCCAGCCCTTGATGCACAGTGGGGGAGAGAAGCCAGACAATAACTGAGTGTTAGCTTTCACCAACTTCCACGTCTTCCTCTTCTCTGGGATACCAGGAAGGTATTTCACAAACACAAGAAATACAAGACAAGGTTTTCAATTCTTCCTCGATACCTGCTATTCAGCAGAAGTTGCACTACGCCTCCGAAACAAAGGCAGATTTCAATATTTAAACAGCTTTGGTGACAAACACTGATTACACAGTATCTACATTAACCCATCTACACATACTCCTATCTCATGTCATTTGAGAACAGCACGCTGCAGTTGTCATTAACAAGCAAAACATTTAATTCCTAAAAGGCTTTAAGCAGCTCTGATACCTGTCACTTTGCTGACCAATTAACTTCCTAAGTCTCAAAAAACACAGGTAGCTTTAAATCCACGTTCACACATTTCCTTTCCAGAACTTCGTTCCAATTCACAAATGGAAAGCCATAATAGCATAAATTTTAATCTTCAGGTTCAATTAGGTCTGTGAGACGAATGGAAGTGAATGATCAAACGGTTATTTCAGAAGATACAAATGATTTTTTGCATAGCTCTATCTTTGCGACACTCTTAATGCATGAAGCTCCGTGCAGTACGGCAGTTTTTTACTCTTGATGCATTAGCATCACAAGTGTGTGGCAATTTATCACTTCTCACTGTAATGTACTTGCTGGCACTGTGTGCAGGACAGTAGGGGATGCGGTAAAAGTGGCTCAAACCGTAAATCAATTAGAAAACAAAAGCTTGTGCTCAGTGCGCAATTTTAGGCAAATTATATATTACAAAAGACTGCCAATTGGGTGTGAGGTCCCAGGTGGCTGCTCTCCCTCAGCCCCTCTGGTTAACCCCTTCGGATGGGCTTTCTCTGGAAAATGACTCAAGTTAACAATTCCAGTGCCTCCTGTCCCTCCCCTTGCTTTTTTCTTTTTTTCTCTTTTTAAAGCACTCTACAGTTTCCACATGACTTTCACTCACATCGATGACATGGTCATTGCATAACAAATCGCCTCGAGTTGAAATGTCGGACAGTTATTTATTCTCACAAAAACATTCAGCACAAACCCAGGACTGAGACCCAAACCAAGACATTTCAGGAGGAACCTTCACTGCAGCAGGACAATCCGGACCCGAGTCTAGACCAGAATGTAGAAACTCAGCCAGAAATATTTCTTACAAACACCACCCTATAGTATTCCTTGATGACAATATCATTTCGGCTTTTACTGCTAGCATTATCTATCTATTTCACGGCAGCTTGATAAATTAGGCAGGGAAAATCAGGGAAAATCAGCACCAACAGTGCGAGCATCGGCCTTTCGGTTTCTCTTTAGACCACGACCGCCCGATCTGTGCGAGCTGTCGGGAGTCGCATTCCGCAGGTAGTTTGAGCAGGGTATGTGGGATTTAAGGCCCCGGATGGCTCGCGGTGCCGCAGACCGTGCCCTTAGCCCGGGGAGCTCAGTCCCTGCATCCCAGCGCATCCTGCCCGGA